TTTCTTGGACCACTAGCCCCAAACCCAAGTGTAAAGGAATATTTTTCCACAAGCTAACCTTTGTGTTTTGTTGGGGTTTTTTGTCTTTGGGGGGTGGGGGTATAAGTAAATGGGGACAGCAGGGTTGACCCAGCCATACAAATGTTGCTGCTCAAAATGAATTTCTGTGGCCCAGGTTATTTTGTAAAATCATCTGCAAAGATGTTAACATAGACTTTTAGAATTTAAACAGAATTCTAATAAGCACTGCCTTGCATACAATTAAAAAATACTAAATGAATGAATAATAACCATTAACATGGAGAACTAGTTTTCCCGGAGCAGGAAAGCACATTAATTACAGGTAAGACCAGGATCACTAGGGACAGGACTGAAGCAGAGGTCTGAGAGCCTCTGACCCAGCTGCCAGGGCACAGATCCTGGAGGTTTTGAGCGGCTCCAAGGGCTGCATTTCCAATGCAGGGTTTGGCGAGCTTAATGGAAACCATACGAAGGGACCCGGGAGTGAGGCCAGATGGCTGGCCAGGAGTGTATTTTGCCTAACCTGGGCTAAAGAACAAAAGTAACCACTAGCAGGTTTTGTTGTTGTTTTGTTTTGTTGGGGGGGGGGGGGGGGGGTGGTGGGGGTAATGGTGTGACTTAATTATCTTATCGTTTCAATTCAACATCAGTCATAACAAGGACAGGATGGTCTTGGTAACGGCAGTAAGTGAAGCAGGGGCCCGAGAGCAGCTGGGGGGGGGGGGGGAGCGGGCAGGGAGGGGGCTACTTTCCAGATCACACGTGGTTCCGCCCCCCTCTCAGGGCTGCAGTTGCTGGGGCCGTGCTGCCCAGACAGCAGCGGGGTCTCTCCGCACGCGCAGGGTCCCCGAGCCAGGGTTCCCCCCCCCCCCACACACCCACACACACACACACTCCCTCTAGCGCGCTGCGCACTGGGTGGGGGCGGATGGGATCTTGGAGCGCTTGCAGGGGGAGAAGGGTCGTAGCGTGGAGGGAGGAGGAGGAGGCGGAGGAGGAGGAGGAGGACCTCCTGGAAAGCGGAGAGGCCAACCGAGGGGAGGAGGGTGGAGAAGAAGACCCAGGCGAGGGGCGGAGCCGTGGATGGGGCGGGCTGTGGGCTGGGCTTTGGGGAAGCAGGGTTCCTGCAGAGAGAGCCGGGGTGGCGGGGGGGGGGGGGGGGGGGGCGGGGGGGGGGGGGGGCGTGGCCCCCCACACTCCCGGACCCCAAGCTCCCGCTCCCACCTGGACTCGGGTCGCCCCCGCCTGCCCGACGGCCAGAGCCAATTTGCTTCTGGCGGCACCTGGCTCGGAGGACAATGTGGCCGCCTTAGGCTGCGGGGCGTGGGGCCACCACTCTGAATACAAACGCGCCTTTCTCACGCCCCTTTGCCCCCGGCGCCCAGACGGAAGGATGGGCTCTCTGACGCCGGAGCCCAGAGTGTAGGGGCCCAACACCAGTTCTGTAATTCTTGCAGAGACGTGGGTGCCAACATTTATATTAAAGGAAACTTTAATAATAATGGTAACGATAACATTTGTCCCCTCTTCCAATAAAGAGAAGGGAAAAAATGAGGGACGAAGGCGTTCGAAGGCCAGGGAAGGGTCCAAGAAAGGCAGCCTGCCAAGGCGCAGGTAGTCCAAGGCCCTCTCCTACCTCCAAGTCTGTAATGAGGCAAACTCCGGGCGGGCGCGCGGCTTTGTGGCTTTGTCTTCGGACTCGGACATTACCATAACGGTCCTCCCAGGCTGTAAACGTAGTATTGATCAGCATCCGAGTCCTCGGACGATTCAGGCTTGTTCGCGGAATTACAAGGTTGCCGTGGCTGTTGAAAAATGGCCCGGTTGTCAGCACGCGCCCAACCGCAAAGGTTACTATTTGCACAAAATTGGGAATGAAATTGCCAGGCATCATTCAGGAGCGGGAGCTGGGGTTGTTCCTGCTCTTTCTTTCAGCTCCTCTAACCTTCCTAATTCATCCGCCCCGTCTCTGTGAGGACAGCCAGTTCAATAAGAGGAAAAGAGGAAAGAAAACGAGGCAAGAAGTCCTGGAACCACTAACCCACCCGTCCACTGCTCCTCTATCGCCCCTTAACCATCCTTCAGCGGCAAGATTCTTCCCCATGTTCCCTACCATTCCTTTGGTCTGGACATTGCCGGGTGGGATGAGTTTCTCTGCTTTCACTGTTACATCATGAATTTTTTGAAGATTGGGCCCAGAAATGTAAATATTTAGAAGTTGCCTATCAAAGGCATTAGACACCAAGCAAATACTTTTTAAAATGAGAATGTTGTTAATGATGGTTGAAAAGTTCATTCAATCCCTATTTGTGGCTGATGCAAGAATATGTACGTTTTATATCTCAAAGTTGTTTTCCTCCCCCCAAACACAGCATCTATTTAAAAATCAAGATTTTTCCCTTATCTTGTAAGTAAGAAGTCCTGATTTATTTTTTGGTCAGAACTGTGGGCCGTCACTGGCCAGTGGGGCTCAGTTGGTTAGATGCCATCCCATGCACCGAGGGGTTGCTGGTTGGATTCCCCGTTGGGGCACATGTCCTGGGTTTTGGGCTCAATCCCTGATCCCTAGGGCAGGGTGTGCAGGAGGCGGCTGATCAGTGTTACTCTCTCTCCCTCTCCCTTCCTCTCTCTCTCAAAAAAACAAAAAACAAGAAAACCTATAGGCCCAATGTTTCCTGAAGAAGCCCCTCATATGAATTGTGGTGTGTGTGTGTGTGTGTGTGTGTGTGTGTACTTTTAGTTTGCTGTTGCACCGTAAAAACAAGAGCAGGATGTAATGTCGCTAATTTGTCAGGAATTGTTGATTTAAAAGAAGCTACTGTGATATAGAAAATTCTCTTTAGGGGAGGGGGTCAGGGAAGCAAAGAGAAAGGCAACTGTTGCCCAGAACAGCTGCGGGCACTGGCAGTGGAATTGTTTGGCCCCGGTACAACTCCATGCAGCAAGAGGGATTTATTTATTTAACAATAGTTAATGATTCTCCCAAGCAGCTCCCAGGAGGCCAGCGAGCAGTAACTATACTTTCAGGAAATCCTCTACCCTTCCTTGAGGCATGTACCAACCCTACAGCAAAGGAGGTCCCTGGCTGCCATACCCTATAATGGTCAGTGGACTTCCCAGTGTTAAATGCCCCCAAATACCTCCCTCCACAGCCGGCCTCCTTGCTGCCTTCCCCTGCTTGAAAGTTACCAGGCACAACAGCAGAAAAATCAAGAAAAATGCATTCTATCTGGAAGACCACCGTTAAATAGGCCTGGGAACCGAGGTGGGCCCTCCAACACCTGTCCCATTAGCTATATTCATCATATTAGCAAGTTGGTGCCCATAGCTAGCACTTTCCAGAGTGATATCTCTGTAGAACTGGTGGTTCTTGAATAACAGTTTATATTTCAATGGTCAGGTTTTCTTGTTTCTAATTCACATGACTAACATACCAAACGCAGAGCATTGTGACTACGTGATGGAACAAAAGTAGGTTTACAGGTATGAGTATGCAAAACACAGTTTATTCTCATAGTATTATTTATTAATTATTGCATTATTCTCCCTACGAACAACTATCGATCTACTTTTGCCCCATCCTGTATAATTACTTAGAATAAGGCTGAGTTGTTGTTGTTTTAAGTTAATTTAGAGAAATCTTAATAGCCAAAAGCAATAGGATAGCAAAAGCAGTTGTAACATTTATATTAAATGAGGTGAAGTCAGTAGGGTACTTGCAGAAAACAGTTTTTATTCTTTCAACTCATTCTCTAAGAGGTTCTGCCAGAACTCTAAGACATAAGAAGAGTCCCATTTTTAACATACTGTTAAAAACTACTGGATAAAAATCCTAGAAGAAGCCATAGGCAGCAAAATAGCAGACATTTGTAGTAGCAATATCTTTACTGATACAGCTCCTAGGGCAATGGAAACTAAGGAGAAAATAAACAGATGGGACTACATCAAAATAAAAAGCTTTTGCACAGCAAAAGAAACCATCAACAAAACAATAAGAAAACTCACTGCATTGGAGAATGTTACCAATGTTATCTCCGATAAGGGTTTAATCTCCAAAATTTATAGGGAATTCATACAACTTAACAAAAGGAAGATAAACCACCCAATCAAAAATGGCCAAAGGACCTAAATAGACCCTTTTCAAAAGAAGACATACAGAAGGCCGAGAAACATGTGAAAACATGCTCAAAGTCACTAATCACCCAAGAGATGCGAATCAAAACGACAATGAGGTCCCATCTCACACCTCTCAGAATGGCTATCATCCACAAATCAACAAACAAGTGCTGGTGAGGATGCAGAGAAAAAGGAACCCTCTTGCACTGCTGGTGGGAATGCAGACTGGTGTAGCCACTGTGGAGAACAGCATGGAGTTTCCTCAAAAAATTAAAAATGGAACTTCCATTTGACCCAGTAATCACTTCTAGGAATATATCCCAAGAAACCAGAAACACCCATCAGAAAGGCTATATGCACCCCTATGTTCATAGCAGCACAATTTACAATAGCTAAGATTTGGGAACAGCCTAAGTGCCTATCAGCAGACGAGTGTATTAAAAAACTGTGGTATATCTACACAATGGAATACTACACTGCTGTAAAAAAAGAAGGAATTCTTACCATTTGCCATAGCATGGATGGAAATGGAGAGCATTATGTTAAGTGAAATAAGCCAGTCAGAAAAATATAAATAGCACACGATCTCACTCATTTGTGAAATATAATGAACAACATAAACCAATGAACAAAAATAGAACCAGAGTTATAGAAGCATCAAGCAGACTGTCCAACCTCTGAGGGAAGGTGGGGGGTGAGAGGATGAGAGATCAACCAAAGGACCTGTATGCATGCATATGAGCATAACCAATGAACACAGATCGGGGGTGAGGGCATATGCTGGGGGGTGGGGGCGGCCGGGGAGAGGTCAATGGGGGAAAAAGGAGACTTAAGTAATACTTTACATGGTAAAGAATTTAAATTTAAAAAAAATTAATGGGCTTTAAGAAAGTCTGATCAGGCAAGACAGAGCAGCCCCTGCTCTAGAGGGCCATGTCAGGGGGCATGGGGACAGTAGATGCCAGGTGCCAGAACAGCCACATGAAGAGTGTGCGCCCAGCCGTAACCAGTTTGGCTCAGTGGATGGAGCGTCAGCCTGCAGACTCAAGGGTCCCAGGTTCGATTCCAGTCAAGGGCATGTACCTTGGTTGCAGGCACATCCCCAGTGAGGGGTGTGCAGGAGGCAGCTGATTGATGTTTCTCTCTCATCGATGTTTCTAACGCTCTATCCCTCTTCCTTCCTCTCTTTAAAAAATCAATAAAATATATTTTTAAAAAAAGAGTGTGCGTCCAGGACACGAGGCACCCGTGTGGGTCCCCCAGGGGAGGACAGTCTGAGAACTTAATGCCTTGTTTGCAAGAGGCAGGACCCAGCCAATCACAGGTGGAAATTTGAACACTACAAGAGAAACTCCAATCCCCTTTGCAGCTTGCTTCCCACTGGAAAGCTGGAGACAAGAAATGTTCACAGTGCTTTAAGGCAGACCGCTTCTCAGAACAGTCTACATGCCTTTGTCACTTGAATGTAAATTAGGGAATACCTTCGCTCCAATGCTAAGTACACACACACACGCTAACACCCGCACTGCCACACCAACAGGCACACCCACTGGCACTACCCTGGGGACCCACTGTTGGGTGAGAGGTAAAAAGATTCTTACACATCTCAGGAAGACTGTCCGTTGATTGGCCTTCACCAGGTTCTTGGATGCTGGCTTTTTCATTCTCACATCTAGCGTGAAGACAAAGACAGCCAGGGGGTAAGTGCTTACAGTAAACAGAAGCTCCAAGAGTCTGAACAAATCAAGTTTACTGATTTTCCCAAACCTTTTTTAATTAATAGTTTCAAGTCTTTCCCTATAGTCTACCACACCCCCACCTCTGCCACCACCACCACCTTCTCATGCTTGCTCTTTTCAGAGCTGCGCTGGCACATCTCTGGGGTTTCTCCCTCCTTCATTTCTGCATCCTACCGTCCTTATTGTCAGGAGAGGGACAATGAAGTCACATGTGGTGACAGGGAAGGAGGCAGAAATGCAAAAGACCTTAACCGGCCTCAGACTCAGAATGGGATGAAAAATATCAGATGAAGATCATAATTAAAATAAAGGCAGCCTGGCCAGCGTGGCTCAGTGGTTGAGCATCGACCTATGAACCAGGAGGTCATGGTTTGATTCCTGGTCAGGACACATGCCCAGGTTGCAGGCTTGATCCCCAATGTGAGTTGTGCAGAAGGCATCCGATCAATGATTCTCTCTCATCATTGATGTTTCTATCTCTCTTTCCCTCTTCTTTTCTCTCTGAAATCAATAAAAAATATTTTTTAAAAAAAAATAAAGAATAAAAAAAAGAATTGGTGAATCTTGGTAAAATGTATATGAAAGTACATTTAAAAATAATAAAATAAAGGCAGGACATGAATACAAAGTGATGGTTTAGGGTAGGACTTACATGGTTTTTCATAATTTGGGGTCACTGAAGAAAGATCACGAAACAGAATCTGGTGTGCCTGTGAAGAGAGATAAAAATAAACTAGCAATCACTTTCCCAACCATAGAAATGTAACCAAAGTCCTTTTCCAGCATTGTCCTCCCCATTCAAAAGGCCCTTTGGTACTGTTGCCAAAAGCCATTATAATAACAGACACTAACAGTAAAAGGGAAAGACAAAATTGGGGAAATTATTTATAAAATAGGATCGGCAGAAGAGTTCTATCCCAATATGCAAATAGCTTATACAAATCAATAAGAAAAGCTAAACATCCTAATAGGAAAATGGGCAGAGGAAATGAATACCATCAATGCTTACTATTCATGGATTTCATATTTGTGAGTTTGCCTACTCATTAAAATTTATTTGTAACCCCAAGTTAATACTCCCAGCACTTTTGAGGTCTTTCAAGGACATGCACAGAGAGGCAAACAATTTGAGTCACTTGACATGCACCTTCTCAGTCAAGGTCAGACAACAGGACACCTTTTCCCCTCTTGTTGCAGCTCTCATGCTGCAAACAAGTGTTCTTGTTGGGATCTATTTAGTGCCCTATTTTCTAAACTTTTATGCTTTTTGTTCTTGATTTATTTGTTTATACTGCCCCCCACTCAGTGCTGTCTAGTGTTCTCAGCACAAGAAGGCTGTGATGTGCCTTACAGAGAAAATACGTGTTATATAATTTTCACTTAGGCATGAATTATAGTGCTGTTGGCTGTAAGTTCAATGAATCAACAATATATATTCAATAAGGTGTCTTTGAACAGAAACACACATAAAACAAATTTACGTATTGTTCAGTTAATGAAAATGTTGTGAGCAGAGGCTCATGGGAAACTGACCCTGCATTTCCCCTAGGAGCAATGGTGTGCCATCGTTTAAGCTCTCTACAAGTAAATGATCATTGAGGAATGTTGGACTTACCACTCTGTGCTTGACATCATGTGGCTTTTTAAAGGAACTGGTGATATGAGGGAATAGTCCTGCATGCAAACAAAGAGGAGAAACCAGGCTTAAACCCAGTGTTAGAACATAAAATTTCCTACACTCCCAACAAATAGTACTCACATCACTTATTTCCTTTTAGAATCTGACTAACAGAAAAGTAAGAGTCAGGGAAGACAAAACTGTGACTAAGAGTTAATTAATAGTAAACATTCTGGGGTTTTGGGGGGGAGGGGTGTAACACGTTTTTTGAATAAAAGAACACATTTATTTTTTTAATTTTTAAATTTATTTATTGTATTTGTGTGCAAGAGAGGGAGAGAGATTTGTTGTTCCAGTCATTCATGCATTCACTGGTTGATTCTTGTATAGATGCCCTGACCTGGCTCGAACCCACAACCTTGGTGCTATCGGGATGATGCTCCAACCGAGTTACTCAGCCAGGGCAGTATGGTACACATTTTAATTTTATTTTAAAATGAAAGTGGTGCTGATAACAGCTAAGGAGACACTGAAATTATGAGATTATAATTAAAAATGTCATCAGAATAATTCCGTTCCAAATGCCCTTTGGCTTTCTCTATGAGGTTTTCCTGACGGGACCCTATGATTAGGTCTCAGTCTCAAGTGGCCTGTGCCTCTGGACTGAGAACCAGTGCTTGTTTTCCCTCCCCTCTTAGGTGGAGCCGGATAGTTAGAGTGGGCTGGAGGTGGGTGTTCCCCTTCCCCAGCCAGTTACGCTGTGATGGCACCCTGGCAGATCAAGTTCTGGTTGCCTAGTTTCTCCTGAGGGCAGACCTCATTAAGAACAGTGTCTGAAATGTTTCAAAATGGCTCCTTTCCCCTCCCTCTGCTGGAAACACAAAGGTGATTTTTCTCTGATGTTTATTCTAGGATCCTGGTCGAGTTCCTGGAAGTTAATCTTACAATACTGTAGGGACTCCCCCCTGCCTGGGTCCCCCTGGAGTTTTTAACTCCCAGGCTTGTCCATGTTGAGCCTCCAGCAGTTTGTCAATTACAGTTCCGATATTCCCGCCCTGGCTGGTAGCGGGTGAGTCTCCTGTGGCTCCTGTCTCTCCAGTTTTGGGCAGAGTGGTTGCCCTGGGTCCACCGCTCTCTTAATGATCTGAGAAGAGTTGCTGATTTTTCAGTCTGTTCAGCTTTGTCCCTGTTACCAGGATGGAGTGATGATTTCCAAGCTCCTTACATGCAGGACCACAGGTTGGGGTAAAGATTTCTCTGCCTGGAACATTCTCTATGATACGCAGCTTAAACTCTTAGCATCGGAGCGAACCAAGACCATGCTGAAATTCTGGGGCTATAAAATTTTCTCAAGGTCTAAAGCAGCTCTGGTGTATATTTTATCCCTGGCAGATTAAGTTCCTAGTTGATATATATAACTTATATACCATAAAACCCACCCATTTTAAGTGTATGTGTCAATGATTTTGAGTAAATATGTCAAGTTATGCAACTGTCACCATAATACCATAAATTAGTAGTAGAACATATTCATTATCCCAATAAGATCCCTCATGCCCCCTTATGGCTAATCTCCTTTACTCTCTCCAGTCCCAGGGAAACCACTCACCCACTTTCTTTCTGTATAGGTTTGCCTTTATTGGACACTTTATATCAACGGAATCATACATCATGTGGTCTTTCATGTCTGGCTTCTTTTACTCATCATGTATTTGAGGCCCATCCACATTGCAGCTTTTTAGTATTTTATTCCTTTTTATTGATGAGTGGTATTCCATTGTCTGAATAGACCGTATTTTGTTATCCACTTACCAGTTGATGGACATAAGAGTTATTTCCAATATGGACTCGTATGGATCATGATGTAGTGAACATTCATGTGGGAAGTCTTTGTGTAGACATATGTTTTCATTTTTATTGGATAAAAGAAAGTAAATACCTACGTGTGGAAATGTTGGATCCTATGGTAAATTTGTTCCACTTTTAAAGAAAATGTCAACGTGTTTCCCAAAATGGCTGTACTATTTTACATCCCCACAGCCAATGAATGAAGGTTCCAGTTTCTCCACAGCCCCACCAACACTTGTTACTGTCTTTGTGATCAGAATCATTCTTATGGATGTGAAGAGGTAGCGCATTGCGATTTTAATTTGCATTTCCCTAATGACGAATCATGTTGAGTTCTCTCAAAATCTTAATTTGATTAAAACAAATAAAAACTGATCAAAAAGGGGGGGGGGGTTTGTTGGCATAACATGATGGGGCCTGGTCATTAGGGTTGAGTCAAGGAAACGGAATAGCACTTGTCAAATACTCATTGTGATTGTGCTATTTTACAGTGATGCTTTTTAAAACAAAATATCTTAAACTAAAGTCAAATAAAGAGCCCAACAATTATTTAGCTAAATTCAAGAAAGACCCACCTATAGTGAAAGCTGGTGGACAAGAAGTTTATATTGCACGATTAACTCTGATTATTCCATTGGTCATGAATCCTTAGCCTTTCAAAGCTCTGTTAACCTTTATAAATCCTATCATCCTGCCAGAGGCTTTAACTAGTTCTTTGTCACCTTCTGTTAAAAAGTTATATGAGATAATCATTAGTTAGTAAATGAAATGACACTATATTAGAGTTTTACAGAGAGTAATATTGAGGCATCTGGTAGATTATGGAGAAGAGAGGCATTAGATTTTTTTTGCTAAACCTTTGCATGTGGGATTTACACATTTATGTCCATCGGTCATTTTTCTAACTGAGCTAGAAATGCCTCTCACGTTCGTAGCCTGCTTATGAAGAGGAAGGAACACCAGCAAGCTCACATATGTTGAAGTATGGTTAGCTAATGATTTTTTTTTTCCTTGTGAGTGCTCAGTTGACAAAATAGAGCCCACAGTGCAACTTGACCTTGGCAGTTCCAGCTAACCTTTTCCAAAAGGACATCTAATGTTATCCTAGTTTGCTGGTGTGCATCCACCTCCGTGCTTCCACTTTCTTGTCTTAAAACTGTAATCAAACTGGGTGATTTTGTGGATAAAAACAACAGTGTTAGTAACTGCCAACATAGTCCACCTTTATGTAGTAGGCCCTTCAATGTGCCCACCCTGATGGGATGCTACAGGTATTTGGTTTCTTAAAGTAAGTTATCAGGAAAGCAAGTGTGGTTTGGTGACCATGGGCTCTTCCAGAATTGGAGAAGCTCAAGTCTGGAAGTATTCTTCTAGATTTTCTAACTGGTTAGTCCACCTCTGGGGTGTCTGTCACAGCACAGCTCGCAGCTGTATTTGAGATTCCGTGTCCGTTTCACAGAATCGGGATAATATGATCTCCCGCCTACCCATATCTGAGTTCCTTGAAATTTTGAGTTTCGTGAAATGGAGCCTCATGAACACAGAACATAATGCTGGAAAGCGAAGACAAACTATTCTTATCTTTCTGAGTATGTGATCTTACACTGTACGTACACAAAAGAGGAGACTTTAGATCAAAGATTAACAACACTTAACCTAGAGTCCATGGTCACCCAGAGGGACCCGGGTGTCCTTATAGATATTTTTCCGAAGGTAAGGGCACAGAGCTTTCATCCGATTTTTTAAACTGCCTTAAAACCAGGAGGTTGCCAAACCAGGAGGTTGCCAAACCGGTTTGGCTCAGTGGATGGAGCGTCGGCCTGCGGAATCAGGGGTCCCAGGTTTAATTCCGGTCAGGGGCATGTACCTTGGTTGTGGGCACGTCCTCACTGGGGGGCATGCAGGAGGCAGCTGATCGATGTTTCTCTCTCATCGATGTTTCTAACTCTCTATCCCTCTCCCTTCTTCTCTGTGAAAAATCAATAAAATATATTTTTTAAAAAAAAACAAAAAAACCAGGAGGTGCTAACCACTGGGTAGATGATACAGAAAATCTTCTCCAATAGATTTTAAAGACAAAGGCATTTAATGATCTGTATATTAGGTTTTTAAAAAGTTTTCTGTCAATATGGAGTGGTGTTTCTTAAGTGTAATAATAGTATCATTGTTCTGTAAGAGAACTTTTTACTCTTAGGAGGCACATGCTGAAGTATTGAAGGGCATACTGTTTTGATGTCTGTAATTTACCCCCAATAGTTCAGCAAAGAAGTCTATATAAGCATCAATAGAGAGAGACTGACATAAAACTACATATAAACAAATGTGGCAAAATGCTCACAACTGGTAAATCTAGGTGAGAGTAGGTGAATACTGTTTGTACTACTCCTTCAACTTCTCTATGGGTTAAAAAAAATTTTAAGTTGTGAGTAAAAGAGTAAGACAGTCATTCATCAGCCTTAATTTCACAATTGCAGGTAAAGAAGGAGTGCTATTGTATTTTATAGATGGCTAAAGCAAGGCAGGAAAAGATTAGGAAAACCGGCCAGCAACATCCCAACTACATGTGAGCCACAACCAAGGACATACCTAAAACAATGCTTTGCCTTCTTCTCCTCTTCTCCTCGCCTAACCCCAGCCCGCCCGGTAGGCAGACACGGGGCTTGCTCACAGGAGCCCACCAAAGTCACTGCACTGCCCACTGCCGCACTCCCTTTAAGTTCCCAGGCAAGGGGGCATATGTAACACTTTCTACAATAAGGATTCTTTTTTAAAAAAGATGCTCGCCTTTGATTATGAAAGACATGGCCAAACTACTTTTTTTTTTAAAAAAAAAGAAGAAAAAAAAAGTTCACATGCAAAGCACACGCAGCCACCTCCTGGTGGGAGTGATGCTTGAACAGTGAAGTGCACACGGTGACAGATGGCATCTGGTGACCTTCTTCACAACAGGCTCGGCTGCCAGTGTCCCCTTGTGTCCAATCTCTGCAGGGAATTTGGAAACTGTTGCCTTAGACTTGAATATTTTCTGGCAAACACATTTAACCATTTATTAGATGGTTTCCTAATTCAAAATAGAGATTGCAAAGCAAAGTTCCCGACCCCTGAGAGGGAGGTTGGTATTCCTGGGTCAGGGTGTGTGTGGGGGGTGGGGGGGGTGGGGGGGTGTGCATCGCTTCAGGGATTCTCCAGAGCCTGCTGGCAGTCACCCAGCATATCTGTCATTTTAATGGGGTGAGGACCTCAGTCCCAGGCAAACTGCTTACCAGGCTTTCTAGATTTCCTGGTGGCCAATGGGAGCTTTATTTTTTTTCTGTAGTTTAAAAGAAATGTATGCACTTCCCACAGCAAGGCATGCAAATTAGCCCGAAAACAAACTAAAGCCAGCATCCAAAGGTCTCTCTGCTGTGACAGCCCCCACACCAGCAGTGAATGTGGGAACCCCAGGGCGAGTGGGGCTTGTTCTAAGTCACCTCGTTCCCTCACTGCATGCCCTGGCCGGCCACCACGCTTGTCAAGCTCCACGGTGAGGGTAAGAGGGAGGAGTGGGAGGGGGAGGGAAGAGGGCACGTTCCAGTGAGGGCACCCTGCCCATCGGGCCCTCCTCGTCCACAGCCATCCCACAGGGGCAGCTTCTCTCTGTGATCAGTGGAAGGCAAACCAGTGTGGCCCTGGGAACAGACAGCGAAGACACACATGCCAAAGCCCGAAAAGCCCTCTTCTGCCCTCACCAGAGTGGACTGGGAGGGCCTGGACAGAGGGAGGTGATAGTCAGTCCCCACCAGGCAACGGGCGTGGGAGGTGGCGGAGAAAGGGCAAGAACGTCCCTGTCCCCGGGCATATGGTGGGAGTGGGAAGTGTGGAGCCTCAGGGAGAAACAACTCAGTTGACAGAGGCAGGACCTTGTGGAGTCACACACACACACACACACACACACACACACACACACAGATGAGAGCTAGGTTTCTGTGTGAGGGGGAGCGTCCATTCCGGGGTCTGCCCTGGTCTCTGCGGGGGAGGTGAGTCTTCCCTGGTGGCCCCACGTTTAAGCTTCAGTTTCAAGTTATTAAAAGAAGCCACGGTAACTGGAAGAGAGTGAGCGGAAGGGAGGAAAGACGCAGCATGACCCTGGAAAGATAGGCAGGGGCACAGACATGACAGACCTGAAAGGCCTTGGTGAGGGAAAAGGCTGATGGCAAGTGCAATGGGAAACAGAAGTCACATCGGCTTGTTTAGGCTTTAAGCTTCCCCCGTGTGAAGGCATAATTGGTGGGTAGCCTGGCGAGCTCTTTTGCTTTTAGAAGCCTTTCGAGGTTCGGAGAAGGCTTCACAGAGAAATAAAAAGTGGGGATAGAGGGAGGGAAGGAAAGGGGTGTTAAAAATGGACACAAACGCTCTTGAAGTAACATGACAAACCATATCGATGTCGCCTCCTGGAATATGATTTGGTTCTCGCCCATATTCTCCTGTGCACTGTCATCCTTGTAAAAGCGTATATGCCAAAAACAAACAAACAAACAAACAAAAACGGTTCCAGGGCGCCGCTTCAGACCCTTGGAATGTGTTCCCTGTAGTCAGGGACTCTCCCAAGGAGATCTTACACATATGGTCACGCCTGGGCTTTGATGCGGTCGCACGATTTCAAACCTCTTCCCTGGCACATATTACACCTCCTGGGCCGGCAAGAATAAAAGAGGCCCATGTAGCCTTTTGCAAGGGTAACTTGGGTTCGTCTTGGAGGGGTGCAGGCGTGGGACACAGGGACAGCGCTAAGAACAAGAGAAGAGACGGGGCGGCCAGTGAGTGCTGCCCCCGCTCCGCCAGCCTGCGTTGAGCCATGCTCCTCATAAATGGCTTCTGCTGGAGAGAAGCTTTGGGAGTGAACACAACTTGCTAGAATCTGTCTTTGCAGAGTGTAAATGCACAGTTGAATGGTGTATCAATTTCTGTTTGTTGTACTGCAGTTTTACGACACTTGGCTTTTATAGTTATTAGCTATTGCTTCGTTCTTTAAATATAAAAGATGAGCATATGCTGGGGCCATAGGAGGGGAAAACCACAGCCAAATAAAAAAATTGGAAAGAAATTGATGGAATGCAAAAGGAAAGCCACCTTCAGGTGGGCAGAACAAATACTACTGATTGTCTGGAAGGCAGTTGTGAGAAGGAATTTGAGAACTTTTTTGCTGTGATAACCTCGAGAATCAAACATAAGCCCTGCCCATCTGATTTGCATATTCATATGAATAGATACATTTCTACAAAGAGACCATCAACAGACCACTTTCCACCAGTGGTTAGCATATTTATAAAGTTGGCCTGTGTTGATAATTTGACCCGTGGCTTCATGCTTTAACTCCTTTCATTAGATTAAAGTTGATCATCCAAACATTAAACAATGAAAATTGAAAAGAAGGACAAGGAGCCCAGACAGTGTGGTTCGGTGGTTGAGCATTGACTTATCAACCAGAAAGACATGGTTCAATTCCTGGTCAGGGCACATGCCCCGGTTGTGGGCTCGGCCCTCAGTAGTGGGCATGCAGGAGGCAGCCAACAATGATTCTCTCTCATCATTGATGTTTCTATCTCTCTCTCCCTTTCCCTTCCTCTCTGAAATCAATAAAAATGTTTTTTAGAAAAGAAAGAAAAAATACAAAAGAAGCACAAGGAGAAGTTATCTTGTGGCCAGATGACATAACTCTGCCTGGATACACTGTCACCTCTTAATGAAACGAGTACAGGAAGTCCTCATTAACTCTGTGGATAGCGGTTCTGAACCTTTAAGTGAAACGATGTATAACAAAACCAGTTTTGCTGGAGGCGGATTCATATAAGCAAGAGGAAGTTCCTACAGCATCTCATCAACGTTATCAGGAAACGACATTGACCGACACATTATCCGGGGACCTGCTGTAGCTACCATTTAAATCAAAATGACCACCTGAAGAGAGTGAAAAAAGCCATCTGGGAGAAATCTATTAAGAAGTCATCATTATGAATATATACACTTACGTCATTTCCTCCTGCCAACACTTCACCATAAAAACGGGAGAGGATAGGAAAACAAAGTCATACCTGTCATACAGAGGTAAATTATTGCCTTGGCTGCTCCTGTTACTACCCTTGAAATACTCCCCTCCCTTCCCCCATCTGACTGTGGGACTGCTGGCTCTCAGTTCCCCCAGGGCACAGGTGATCAGCGGGTTAATCAGAATTCTGAAGGGCACAAATAGAATATAAATGTAATAGGATTGTACTTGGTGCTACTCAGATCAGATGCGCTGTCACCTTAGCTTACAATGAATGATGTGACCAGGCTGTTTAATTTCCTGGACCCCAGCTCAGTCTTGTCTCTCAACGATGTAGTGTGTTTCAATTTTATGTTCATTACTGCAGAGGGGAGAAAGTAAGTCTTTCCTGATTTTAACAACTGCACAAATGGTTAGCTGTCCTGTCCTTTTGCCTCAACAAACCACAGAGGAATGCATAATACCCATCTCAAACATGCTAGTACCATAAAAGTCCAATTTCATTAGGAAAGCCAGCAGAACAATGATCGTCCCAGGCAGCCGTTATAAACCTTTATCTCCATTACTGGAGAAAACCCCATAGGGCTGCAGGGTAGCTCTTTTCACCTCTCACACCCCTCCCAACACACGTACCTCTTCAAGCTTTAAATACGACAGCAAAAAGGTATTTCCAGAAAGTTTCCTAAAGTGCTACACAATTCTCATTTGAAATGACATTAGTCTTATTAAACCTTCAAAGATTTAACCCTGAGATGGAAGTTATATGAGAAAAGCCTATTGTTTCTTCCTCAGAATCAGAGTGTGCAGCAGGATGGCCAGCTATTTCTTTGCAGTGTGTGTGGCTGGTACCAGGAGGTGCTGCCCCAGGAGGAATCCATTTCTGAACTCCTCGGCATCTAGATAGAGACCGGTGACTACTTCTCCCATTGGAATGTGAGTGTGAGAGATGCATGCCATTTCCACCTGCCAGCTAGAGTCAAAGGACTCCAGGGTCCCAGGGGATGGTGGAATCCCAAGATGAATGAAGTCTGTACCCTTAAATCACCATGTGGAAGATCTGCCTGCAAAACCCCCATATTTGCCTTTAAGTAAAGAAAAGAATACATTTTCTTGTGTTAGTCCCTGGAATTTGGAGGTTTATCGATTATAGCAGCCAGCGTTACCCTAATTTAACTAAAACAGGGTGGCGGTGGTTATAGGTGAGCAAATACCATTTACTAGCTGGTGGTTTACAGTTTTGGTTTCTCTTCTTAGTTCTTTGATGCACCCAGGAAAGCTCAGATTACATTACCTAGAGCTCCATGCTCTGGCCCAGTTACATTTGGGGACTAATTGGAGGAGGAAAAGGTTTCCCTAAAGTAACTGTCATTTTTTGGAGTGACAGACCCAGAGTAGAATACGTTCATTTTCCTCCTGAAGACACCTTGTCTGTCGTCAGCCAATGGAAACCATATGGACTCAAATCAAGAACCTAGAAATTACAATGAGGGCAGCCCTGCCAAAGGGTCTGGTCAGGCTGATGGCTGCACCTACCTTTATCACCTGCAGTGTCTTGGGGATCAGCCCTGCAGAGGGTGGGGCTGTGGGCAGAGGCCCTTGGCGATGACATCCTGAAGAAAGCAAACAGAAGAAACAGGTTATAAGTTTATGGACTTAGAAGTCACAGCCTATGGACTTCAGAGGGATCTCTGCTCATCTTTTCATTTAATTTCTGAAACTTTTGCTTCCTCTTTTCCCCTTTCCACACTCCCAACCATAATCCTGCACGCCCCTTAAGTCAACTTTCGTTACACAGGTTCACTGGTGCCTCATAATCAGACTTTCTAAGGGGAGTGGCTTAAAAATCATCATTTTCAACAAAATGGATCATTCTCATGATCAAACATGTGTAGGAACCATTATTCTCAAGAACGATCAAGGGGATGAGAGTGGCCAAGTTTCTATGCCAAAAACCCTGCTGTTCTTACCAAAGCTTTGCAGATTTCCTGGAAAACACTCCTCAGATTGCTGCACACCTTTGATTAATTTTGAAAGAGGTGATTTTGACAATATTTTTTTCCAGAATTTTTTTGCTTTTATGGAGGATTGCATTCTGGAAGTCCTGTCCTTCCCAAGGTATTATAAAATGGACATAACATAAAATTTACCATTTTAGCCACCTTTAAATGTGCAATGTAGTGGCATTAAGCACATTCACAGTGTTGTGCAACCGTTACTAGTACCATCTCCAGAACTTTTCATCATCCTCAACAGAAACTCTGTGCCTCTTGAATAATAATTTCCCGTTCCTTCCTCCCCACCAGCCCCTGGGGACCTGTATTCTACTTTCTGTCTATGGGCATTTGCCTCCTCCAGGTCCCTCCTACAAATAGAATCATGTGGTATTTGTCTTCTGTGTCTGGTCCTTTCAGTTAGCATCATGTGTCCAAGGTTCTATAAACATGCATGTGTAGGGTTTTGTGCAGACAGAAATTTACAAATCAGTGAGGTAAATACCTAGGAGCGTGACTGCCAGGTCTTATAGTGCGACTGTGCTTAGTTTTGTGAGAAATTGCCACCCATCTTCTTTTTTTTTAACCAACTTCCCCATTCCTTTCCTTCAAAGCACAGACGGCTTGTTTCCAGGTGGCTGCTCCCTCACCAGACTGTAGGCTCCATGAAGACAAGGCCCACGGATGTTTCATCACAGCCCCAGCCCCAGCCCCAGCATCTAGACTAAAAAGCCCTACACACAAAGTAGGATCTTAAAGAATATTTGATTAATGAATGAATAAATGAATAATTTAATAAATAAACAGAGCATCAAGGCCTAAAAATTGATCCTTGTGCCATACTTTTGTCTTAGGAATTTCAAAATGCAACTTTTCCCTTATTTTAACCTCGGCAGACAACTGGAATTGATACCAATATTCCATAGTAGTGTAAGTTTTGTACCACACTCACTTCCACGCTCCCAAAAGGCAGGAGCTTTTTTTTCCTGCGTGGTTATGAATTTTACATACTTGCTGTTAAAACTGGTTCAGAACCAAATGACCACCTTTGCTCCATCTTGCACAATATGGGTATCCAATGTATGTGATGAAAAAAAATATTATGTTTTATATACTTTAACATGACCTAACATTTTAAATGATCAGTCACTTCATATTTTATTCAGTAATCCCCCTTGGACCATCTGATTTTATAGCAGAGTAAAAATGTCTCTTCATGGCTTTCCCAAATTTTAATCAAACAGCTTTTGCTCCTAACTCAAGACATTAGTCTTTGGGGCTAAAATTAACCAAGAGAAAGATTTTTTTAAAAGCAAATTTAAACTATAACCAGCACTTTCCAAATGAGCTGAATCTGCCCTCCATCTTCATTCATAACCCTTGCTGTGGCTTAGCCTGTAACAGAATAAGCAGCCATTCTGCAAAGGATGTATTTACATTTCTGAGGTTCCAAAAAAACAGGTGAACCTCGCAAGCTTGTGTTCTTTGTGGTTTGCAATGTCACAGGGCACCTTGGTTGGAATGATTCACATAATGATCTCAATAAGAAAGAAGTTCCAAGTTCTGTACATTTTCACTAGCTACTTCTGCATTTTTTCTATTTATTAACTCTTGCCTACTCTGATAGCAGCTTTCAAACTATTTATCTACTTGGATACTGCCAGAAGCCGGTCCATCCTTGCTGCTTGACACAGTCGCTGCAGGAAAGAAACATCTGCACAGCATATGTTTCAAGGGACCTGGCGTATATAGCATACTGTTCTTAATATGTTTGCTCCCCTTAGCGCTGTGTGTTTTAACCAAGGTCACCTCTCCGAGAAAGGTTGTTTCCCCAGGTAGGGATTTTTCCCTGAAGTCAGGGAGGGGATAAAACTCCTTAACTAAGTGCCAGGCGGGTAGTTAATCACTTTAACTACAATCACGCTTAAGCTACATAATCTTTACTCCCTGGAATGGAGATAAGAAACGCCCTAACCTTTGCAATAGAAATTGCCAGGATTAAAATCAACTGGTATAAATACGGATGTAACAAGACAATAAACACCAGAACTTCGCTGGAGATCCAGACCAGAACTTGGCTGGAGATCCTGGCTAGAGATCCTGGCTAGGCTGCTGATCAACTGAACACTGTCTCCGTGTCATTCCTTCTTCGCCGACTCCGTCCACACCTTTGGGGACCCCTGGACCTGCTGGGGTTGGACCCCGGCAGGATACCAGCTTTCAAACTATTTGTTTTCAGAGTGGACCCCAGCAGTACTGGAAAGATTCCCCGATCTGGCCAAGAGATGCCTTGAAATTCACAGAATTAGCCAAGGTGCTTCCCAAATTAATTGAAGTATCAACATACTTGAGAGCTATTAGAGATGCAGAGACTGTGGAATAAACCAAAAAAGGCCCCCAGTCGGTAGCCTTTCTGAGACATCTGAGCTTTAAGCATTGTTTTGATCATTTGAAGAGCCCTGGAAGGCAATATAACTAATATTTATTAGGGTCTTAGTTGAGTGAGTCCTCACATCTCAAGTCAGAGCCAATAAGCCAATTGATTTTTCAAATAGATTTCCAGAATTTGGACAAGATAGTTGACAAGTAACACACAGAGGGACATCTTTCATCATGAGTCCTCGTGTTTTCCCACATCTCCATGTAAGTTTCCTGCAGCTCTCTGATTATATTGGGGACTAAACACTCCTTTCCCTCTGTGCACCCTCCCTCCGGCAGGGTGGTTTCCCCACTTTCCAGACCAGCTCGCCAAAACCTGCTTCACTGAGATCTTTCTCACAACTGCCCCTCACTGATAGCATCTCCCTCCCTGTGCTGATTACTTAGCTCTGTGGTTTCAGTTACCATATTAAACTGAAAATACTTTTTTTTTTTTTTTTTTGGTGGGACTCAACATAGGGCTTGACTGAGAGCAAACATTTGGAAACTGTGTTTCGGGCCCTCAACACTGCAATTATTGATAGACATTAGGAAATGGAGAGCAAAGGAGGATTAGTCAACTTTCTTCCTGTTCTGGGGGAATTTTTCAGCTAAAAGTGGTAAAACTAAGCACCACTTTGCTGAGCAGAGAACACCAAATATCTACAGTTTAATAAAATGCTTATATTTTCATGTTTTCAAGAGTACCTAGTTCTAATTTTACAAGCACTAAGCTAAAGACAATCATAATTTCAGCTGATAACTGACATTTAGGCTCTTCTTCCCACTGACATTTACAGCAGGAAAATATGCAGTACTTTCTCTGGGTTTACAATACCCTCTTTCTCTAATAGCATTCTTGCCTATTATAGTGACATATTCAGGTGCAAATTACAAAGAAATCTTACTGGCGACTCTCAGGCCTCTGCTTTCCCGCTTCCAAACAAAATTGGCTGCTTGTGGATTTATCCAGTTCTTTCCTCCGGTAACTGCCCTTGTAGGTTGTCAGAGAAGAATCTGACCATCTCGTTTCATTCTGCCAAGATGCCCCAGCCTTGCGTCTGATCAGATCAAACTCCTGAGAAGTAAGAGGGCTAAAAGGCAGAAGAATTTGTGGAGTCAAGTAGAGAAAGTGCGACATGGCTATGGACGGCCTGCTCTGGGTGACTTCTCAAGCCCTCTGCATAATGAGGGGTTAATTTCCTTTTAGTGGCAAGAAGTAATTGACTGGGCTAGGCAAAAGTTGCCAAGCAACAGATTCCACAGACAGGCCTGCCCTCATGCCCCCCAATTTTAACTAGCAAATTTGTAAGTTATTCAACTTTCTGGCCTTTGTTCTTCTAAGCAATATATTGCTACAAAGTATGGCAAGAAAGCAGGTGGCAACCGCTTTTATAAATAGAACAGTAAATCTTAAAGACGGTGGTTTAAGAGGTGGGAACAAGAGATCATAGGACAGTGCCAAGCATTCATTTCTTCTAACGGGTCTGGAAGCGAACCTGAACTGCTTGTGATGTAACAATAGCAGGTGACTCAAACTGTTTATGTCACAGAGTGATGGTGCTTAGGCTGGCTGCACACAAGGTCGCCCCAGGAACTGTTAAGATAAGCGGCAGCTCAGGCCTCACCTCTTCCCACCCCTGAAGATTCTGATCTAATTGGTCTGGAGTAGTACCCAGGCGTTGGTATTTTTTAACAGCTCACTCCCAGAGGCTTCTTAAAAGAGCAGCCAGGGTTAAGAATTCAGGTCACTGAAATGTCACTGTGAACCTTTTTTAGGTTGAGAGGTCATGGCATTCAATCTTTTATTCACATGAATGATTTCCTGCATCCATCACGAATAATTACTCTAAATTTGGTTAATATGTTTGCCTGTCTTTCTCCACATTCACAAACAATCCATTGGCAAACAGTTCCTCCCCCCCTTCTTTAACCATCTCTTGGAGCAGTTCTCAACCCTTGCACTTATTCATGTAACCTGTGGAATTCTTATAAGGTCAGATGTCGTGCCTCACCGCTATCAGCCACTCTGAGCGGATCCATCATCAGCACTAAGAACAAAGAATCTCCACAGGGGATTGGACCAGCACCTCTGTCTGGGGCACGTTATACATGCAGAGGACTGAGCCCTACTTTCACAAACCACAGGTCTGAGGAAAAGCCTGGAAACCAGCGTATTTATATTGTTACACGTTCTGATGAAACTGATCTCTGAATACTAGGAATACTGCTCCAGGAGCTGAATCTAAACAGCCTTTCACAGCAAGGCTGACACACCAAAGGGCATATTTCTTTGAGAATAGCATAATTTGCAAATATTTGCTAGTATTTAAAATTAGGGCCCTACTGGTTCGGTTCATTGGATAGAGCATCAGCCTGCGGACTAAAGGGTTCTGGGTTTGATTCCGGTCAAGGGCACAAGTCGGGGTTGCGGGGCTGAATACCCAGTGTGGTGCGTGCAGGAGGTAGCTGATCAATGATTCTCTCTCTCATCATTGATATTTCTCTCTCTCTCTCCCTCTCCCTTCCTCTCTGAAATCAATAAAAATATAATTAAAAAAATAAAATAAAATTGATGCACTTTATTGTGTAAAAATTTTTAAAAAATAGGAAGTTATTTCCTTAACTTTGAGGTTTGGACCTTGGCACCTTTGCCCTAGTACAGTGGTCGGCAAACTCATTAGTCAACAGAGCCAAATATCAACAGTACTTTTTCAAAATAGACTCGCCCCAGGCTAAAAACCGACTTCTGCGCATGGGCCACGAAGTTTCAATCACACTGTACGCGCGCCTGCACGTGGTATTTTGTGGAAGAGCCACACTCAAGAGGCCAAAGAGCCACATGTGGCTCGCAAGCCGCGGTTTGCCAACCACAGCCCTAGTAGAGTAGGTGTTGGCACACCCAGCTGCCTTTGCTCATGGAGTTGAAGGCAGGGATTTCTTTAGAGATCTCTTGTGAAGGCAGGGATTTCTTTAGAGATCTCTTGAGGAATCTAGCTGTGACGAGATGAAGTGAAGAGTGGAAGAGGGGGAAATTGACTGACCTCTCTCTTTGGCCCACCCAGTGTCAGGTAGCAACTGCTTATGTGCTTAAACCTTTAGCCATTGGGGCAAAACGGAGGTTTTAAAGAACTCTCTGCTAGTGATATTTATTGTTTTGATACAGGAAAATAGAACACATTGTGTAAGATTATTTGTAGAAAATATTTTAAAACTTTCTTCTTATATTATGAGGTAGTCTGTAAGAATATGTAGTATAAACTCTTTACAAAACAAATAATTGTACTTTACCATAACTTACCACATTTCTGGTTCTATATATTACTTTTATTTCTTCTCCCCAAATCAATTACAATATAATTTAAACAATTATAACCTCAAGAATCAAGAGTAGTAAAATGTAACAATTTAAGCGACAATGTCTAATATTGGGTGTAGATGGAATTATAGCTTAGCTCATCAGTCTATTAGATACTGAACAAGTCTGTTATAATAACTTAGACTTCAAATTAGAGAATAAATAGAAAAGACTAATTAAATTTATTTTCATCGGTATTTACTTTAGAATGTCCTAGAGTTGTAAAGGCCTTTGTAAGCATATCATAGGTATTTACTCTAGAACATCCAAGAATTCTGAAGGCCTTTGCACTCATTCTTGGCTCACATTTAATCAAATGCTCACTTCCTTGTCTTGGACACTGGTATTCAGTACTGATTCATATGGTCTGACTTCCAGGTTGAGAGCTTGCACTAAAAACTTCCTTTTGTAACTGAATATGGCAAGTTATGTTGCTCAGTCCCTGGTATGTGAAATGTGAAAAACTCTAACCAAGAGCACCTTCACAATGAACTCTGGATTGTGAGTACATTTAGTGAAAATAGAAGCTTCCAGAGTGAGTGACCTCATACCCAATAAAACCAGCAGGTGGCGTACATATCACCTGATTGGGAGGAGGGGGCAGGCCTTGACCAGGCTTCTGTCTAAACACAAGGCAATTATTCTAATACGGTGTTAATAGATACTAATTAAAAGAATGTCAGGGTTAAGTTTCAGACAGCTGGAATACACATGTTTCTTTGCTGTAGGACTTACAGCCTTTACTATTTCAATGTTCACTGTCAATCTTTTGAAGGGGCCTAGATAGTGGCCTCTTACTGGACCACACACCCCTTTTGTGGGCTGGGGAGCATCTTGGGGTATTGCTGTTCTATAGAAGTCCACAAACTGAAAAAGCTAGAGGTCTCTACCATTAGGACAAAGGCTGGTGTGTCATCTGTGGAATTTACTAGATCTTGACCAGATCTCCAGCCCCAACCACTGACAGCCTGGCAAGAGGTTGGATCAAGCAGTATTTTTTTTTTTAACTGAGACGTAACATCAAACAGTAAAGTACACAAGTACACTGATTACATGTATGTACATCCATGTAACTACTACCCAGGTGTATCATTCTGGTCCCTTTCCAATCAAAACAGCATGTACACACAGACACACACACACACACACACACACACACACACACACACAAAACCACTATTTCAATTTCTATCACCACAGACTAGACCAGCCGTGGGCAAACTACGGCCCGTGGGCCGGATCCGGCCCGTTTGAAATGAATAAAATTAAAAAAAAAAAAAAGACTGTACCCTTTTATGTAATGATGTTTCTTTGAATTTATATTAGTTCACACAAACACTCCATCCATGCTTTTGTTCCGGCCCTCTGGTCCAGTTTAAGAACCCATTGTGGCCCTCGAGTCAAAAAGTTTGCCCACCCCTGGACTAGACAGTTCAGGCTGTAAGCTGTGGAGGCAGAAACTTCCCCATGCCATTCCAACGTAAAACCTAGCAAGAAAACAAAGTCGAGGAAAAGCAAAATTCCCTTGAGAAGAAAGATCCCACATAAAGCTGACACTTCCACCTCAGCAAGAATCTGTCTCCTTCATAAGGTGCCAAATTCTGATATTTGGGTAAGTGTGGCCAACAGCTGAATGAGCATACAGAATGTGTTACAGTCCATAACTGTTCGGGTCTGTCAACTATAGTAATACTAGAGGCCTGGTGCACAAAAATTTGTGCATTCGGGGGGGGGGGGGGGGAGGCTGTGCCCTCTTGCAGTCTGGGACCCCTTGGGGGATGACCACCTGCTGGCTTAGGCCCGCTCCCCTGGGGGATTGGGCCTAAGCTGGCAGTCAGACATCCCTCTGGCATCCCGGGAGCCCTCGGGGGATGTCCACTTGCCAGCGGGGAGCAGACCTAAGCTGCAGTCAGACATCCTTAGCGCTGCTGAGGAGGCAGGAGAGGCTCCCACCACCACCGCTGTACTGGCAGCCATCAGCCTGGCTTGTGGCTGAGCAGAGCTCTCCCTGTGGGAGCGCACTGACTACCAGGGGGCAGCTCCTGCATTGAGCGTCTGCCCCCTGGTGGTCAGTGTGTGTCATAGTGACCAGTCATTCCCAGTCGTTCTGCTGTTAGGGTCAATTTGCATATTACCCTTTTATTATATAGGATAGAGGCCTGGTGCATGGGTGGGGGCCGGCTGGTTTGCCCTGAAGGGTGTCCCAGATCAGGGTGGGTGTCCCGCTGGGGTGCCTGGCCAGCCTGGGTGAGGAGCTGAGGGCGTTTTCAGGCTGGCCATACCGCCTTCAGGGAGGGAGGCCCTACTGGGGTGCCTGGACAGCCTGGGTGAGGGGCTGATGGCTGTTTGCAGGCTGGCCACGGCCCCCAGCCACCCAAGCTCCCAGTGGAGGCTGGCTGGAAGCAGGTATCTGGGATTTATTTATCTTCTATAATTGAAACTTTGTTGCCTTGAGCAGAGGCCACAGCCGGCCAGGGCAGGCGGGAAGCTTGGCTTCCTCCATTGCCAGGGCAACCAAGCCTCCTGCTTGCTCCAGCTCCATGGCTGTCAGCCGCCATCTTGGTTGGGTTAAGTTAATTTGCATACAGTCGCTCTGATTGGCTGATGGGCATGGCTTGGGGCATAGCAGAGGTGTGGTCAATTTGCATGTTTCTCTTTTATTAGATTAGATTAATTCTCAGTCCTTGATCTTGGAATAATTTCCTCATGCTTACCAACTGTGTCATTTGGAAATTTTTAGTCACTTATCACTGTGTGGCCCATGGTCTAAAGGACATAGGAAC